TCGATCGAGAAAAACATCCACACCCACACTCACACCCACACCCACACCCACATCCTCCTATATTGTAATCATTTGTTTATCCGAACTATAATTCATATAACTTAACAATTTCGTTTAATAGTTATTATTGGAACAGATGTACCAATTTTGTTTTATATCACTGATAACATTATTTGATCAAGAGATACATTGATGTTGATATCAGTAGTTATGTGATGAAACAAAAGAGAAACGCGCCGTTCACAGATTGATTCATTATTGTTAATTAGAAAAATCGATGATATATTAAAGAATTCGACCGTCATGAATTTTAAAGAAAAAACATTATTCTATATACATATATATTAGAGAAATGAATCAAAAAAGCAGGAAAAAAAACGTGGACAGGAAAAATAGGATGTAAGAAGGATGTGTTTTTTGATATTTGAGATTGTCGTACTTGCTCAGTTTAATCAGATTAATCACAGCGCCCTAACCATCACACAGTGTTTCTAACAGCCGGTGTACACAGCATAAACGAAATGCAGAGAACATCTTCTATTTTTGATTTATGCTTTGCCCAAAAGTACAAAATGTAAAATGTGCACTCTCCTAAAAATTATTTACTGATTGATTCTACAACGTTAAAAGTTGTATGTAATATTAACATCAAAGAGAAACTTTCTTTGCAAAATAGTCTATTATGACCTTGCAATTTTGAGAAAACTTCTACCAATGACCGGTACGGTTGCTTTTATTTTGTCTTTTCACTCTTTCCGTAGATCAGAGATGTCCACGGCAGCAGTAGTGGCAGATTTTTTGCGGAATCATCGCGGCAGCGGCAATTTATCTACTTTGAGTGTCGCGGCGTGGCATGGCGACGGTTAAAGTTTTCGAAAAGTTTCTCCAATTTTTTTGAATAAATCTTAAGACTTGGAAATATGATTCTGTTGTGACTCAGACTAGTGAGGATGTTTTTCTCGATCGACAGACTTTTAATGCTATTCCACGGACTAACTGAAAGAGAAGTATTAATATTGTCTAAATAAATGATGTTGTTATTTGAAAACATGTTAATAGCAATTATAGAATACGTATGCTGATCTATTTTCATTGGCGTGCATTTTGTCATTGTCAACCTCGTTTCATACACAGAATAAAAACAATACATGTTTAAAAAAATGAATACGTGTTTTTAATGATAAGCGATGAAAACATCTTTGCACAAAAGTCAAATCCTGTTAGCTCATATCACCAACTTCTTAAGGGTGGCCACCGCCCTACGCCGCCGGCGCGACCTGCTGTCAGATCACCCACTTCTTAAGCGCCCCCCCCCCCCTCCAAAATAGTCCATTTTCGTGAGAATTGTCAAAATTGAGATAAATACATACGAATATAGCCCGTCGTCTGCGCTTTCAATATCAATAAAAATTTTCCCTAAAACTTCCATTTTTTTCCAAAATATTTCAGAATTACAGAGAACCAGTTTTTGAAAAACCAGCGGTTTTTTGAAATATCCAAAAATCTTTTTCATTTTTTTCTCGTTTATTAAACTTTTTAAAAATCAACAATATCAACTGATTGTACATCACCTTCAAATGCCAAGATACGTTCTTCGATAGAATCGACGCTGACCTAAATTTACAAAAGAATAGTGAAGACATAGATTTTTAGTATGTTTAATACTGAAAACATTTTCACG